GTTCTAGTGCGGCACAGCCGAGCAGCCCCGTCTGGCCGAGTGGCACCAGCGGCACGACGGCCAGCTCGAGCGTGACCAGCAACACAATTGCATCGTCTAACACCTCGATTCCGGTGCACCGTTGTCTCACAGTACGCCTCAGCCGACCAGCTGTGCGACCTCGAGCAGCACGGCCGCAACCAGAACGATCTCGAGCAGCGCGACGTCCACGGCCACGTTCACAACTCGAGCATCCGCGTGTGCGTGGTCGTGGCGAGCAGCGCAGCGGCGAGCTACATGACCTCGAGTGCGACACTATCGAGCAGCACCAAGCCCGGCAACACCAAGACAAGCCGCGGCACGACGCTGACGGACACGTCAGGGTCATTCAGACCACGGTGACCGAGGCGAGTACTCCGGCAGCTAGTACGAGCGGCACCAGCAGCACGACGGCTAGCTCGAGCGTAACAAGCTGCACAACGGCGTAGTTCCCCACCTGGACTTCCAGCGCCTCGTGGTCCAGCAGTACGTCTCTGGTGACCTGCAGTGCGACCTCAGGCAGCACGGTCGAGACCAGTACGGTTTCTAGCAGTGTGGCGCCCACAGCCTCCTCCACGGTGGGCTCCACGTCGATATTAAGCAGCAACGCGAGCGGGGTCGAGACGAGCTGCGCAACGTCGAGTAGTATGATCACGAGCGCATCGCAGTCGAGCAGCACCACGTCGGCCAGCAATACGGTGGGCAGCGGCACGACGCTGGCGGATGGTGCAGGGTCCTTCAATACCACGGTGACCGAGGTGCGTTCCTCGACGGCCCGTCCGAGCGGCACCAGCAACAAAACGGTAAGCTTGAGCGTGGCCAGCAGCACTCTTGCTATGTCTGCAGCTTGACTTCCAGTGCATCGTTGTATTACAGTGCGTCTCGGATGACCATCAGAGCGTCCTCGTGCAGCATTGTCGCGACTGACTCAATTCCCCCGGCTGTCAGCCGCACCCCAACAGCGCATTGGCAGGTCTCAGGCGAAACCTTTTTCCCCCCATCCCGCGGTTGTTAGCCGCACCCCAGCAGAGCATCGGCAAGTCTCAAGCAAAACTTTTCCCTACCATCCCGCGGTTGTTAGCCGCGCCCCAGCAGTGCGTCGGAACGAGCACCTGACTCCGATTGGCCCTCGGGCTCCGGTAGCCTGTTCCGCCCACTGCCCGCTCCACGCCGCTGCGGCTGTCTGCTGCCCTGGGGTGGAACGGGATGTGGAACCGTACCCCGCCGAGAAGGGTCGGGCACAATGATCTGTCCCCGGCCACTTCACCTTTCCCGCGGCTGTTAGCCGTACCCCAGGTGATTCTAGATCTGGTCGTCCCCTCATCGCCGACACCCAGGCGAGACCTTCTCTTGTCCCTCTGCGGCTGTTAGCTGCACCCCATCAGAGCATCCGCATGTCTCAGGCGAAGCCTTTTCCCACCATCCCGCGGCTTGTAGCCGCCCCCTTGCAGAGGTTCGGCAATCCCGTGGCTGTCCGCCGCACCCTAGGTGTGCATTCTCCACCTTGTCAGCGGCTGTTAGCCGCCCCCCATCGAAGATAACTAACCACTTCACACCTCCCGCGGCTGCTTGCCGCACCCCTGCTGGTCCTCGGTTTGTCTCAGGCGAAACCACTTCCCACCTTTTCGCGGCTGTCAGCCGCACCCCGGCTGCGCATCGGCATGTTTCAACCGAAACCATTTCCCTTCTGCCCGCGGCTGTTCGCCGCACCCCAGCTGTGCTCTGTCAGGTCTCAGGCGAAACTGTTCCTTATCATTCCGCGGTTTCAGCCGCACCCCCCCCCCCAACTGCTGCGGCAAGTCCTGGCGCCATCCTTTCCCATCTTTCCGCGGCTG